GGAAGGTTTTTCCTTAGGCTGAGCTGAAATCAGCTTCCCTGTAACTGCCAATCATTTCCTTTCAGGAAAATCTGCTCCCTGATAATGGAACAGAGCCACCTTGTACTTTTAAGTGATAATATTAAGTCAGTCAGAATGATACTTTGTTCTCTAACATGGATTTCTTACTCTTAAGTTCTGGCACAGATCCCATGAGATAATTTCACAGTATTGGAAGCAGTGGTATGCTCATTAACAACTGGTTCTCAAAAAAAAAAAGTACACATATACTCCTAAGATTAACTTGACTATTTAACATTACTAACATGACTTTCTTAAATCTAGACAACCAGCAAAATAAATCAAACCCCAATTTCATGGGTTTGCCTATTTCTGAGGTGTAAAAGCTCATACTGAAAATTTAGCAATCAGCTGTTTTGAGTGTGTATGAGCTGGCTTCAGCACACCTCTGATAAGTCGGGTCCTTAGAGATAGGTTTAGTCCAATCTTCCAGTTCAGGAGTCTGACAGGTAATTAATTATCTAACTGGGAATGCTTCCAATGATGAGGAAGCCCATTCATTTTTTTCAACTGCTCCATTAGAAACTTCCTCATATTGACTTTTTATTAATGAGGTAAGATTTGCTGATCACAGAGCTGGGAGGGACCTTCTCCAATCCCTTCATTTTACAGTTTAAGAAACTGAGGCCCAGACAGGATAAGTAATTTGTCCAATGTTAGTAGTGAGTAGCAGAGTTGAAATTCAGAGCCAGGTCTTTTTAACTTCCCAGTCCCATGCCCTGTCAGTCATATCACCCTCCCTCCCTGCAAGTTCCACCCGTTGGGCCTGGTTCTGCTTTCTGATACTATACAGATGAAATCTACTCCATCTTCTGCAGCAGTGCCCTGTAAACTTCTGGGGTCATGCACAGCTGCAGTAAAAAGTGTTTAAGCATCAACTACCCAATATGTCAATTTACTGATTTATGAATTTACATACGTATACTACTGTACTAGTAACTATGTACCTCATAATTTGATGTGAAAAGATAAATTTTAAACAGATGAGATAAAGATATTTGATCCTAGATTCTGGAGGCAATAGAAGTTTGAGTAGGGGAGTGACATGGAGGGTATGATTTGAAGTGGGAAGAGATTTGCATCAAGGAAATCAATTTCAAGAGGCTGTTGTAATAGTCTAGAAATGATGACAGCCTGAATTAGGGCAGTAATGGTGCTGAGTAGAGAGGAGGGGACACATACAAGATACAGAGATGGAAACGGCTAGATTTGACAACTGATATGTGGGGTGAGGGGGGAGTGAAGAGTTAAGGATGACGTTGAAGTTGCAAACCTGGGTGACTAGAAGAATGGGGGTATACCTTTGTAAAGAGGTGTGGCCTTTGTGGGGAAAGACAATGCTCACAACCCATTCATGCCTGCTCACTCTATCCCAGCAAACATGGGGGGGACACTCACTGGCCTCTGCACCCCCCCAGAGTGCAGAGCCTGGCAACCTAGGTGATCTTGGAGGGAGGGGAAGGGGGAAGCAGAGGGAGGGAGTATTGCGGGATAATGGGTAGAGGCTATGATACTGGAAATAAGCCAATGATTGCCTATTGTGGGATGTCACTCTTCTTCCATTAGGTTAATCCACATACCCTTTGGGATCACATGGTTGGCATCCACTTTGGATCATGCTGTTCTCTACAGGCTATGCTTTCATATACATGTCAGATTTTTTTTCTTTTACAAGCTAAAAATTCCACATTCCTTCAGTAGCCCAGGATGACAGCTTTTTGATAGTATTTGAAGATAAGCGACACCTTGGGTTTTAACAGTAACTTCATTTCAAGTTTGTGAAAAAATTATCTGTGTTTCTTTCAGAATAACTGGCTAAAAAAGAATCCTTATGTAGGAAATAAGCTCAAAAGGGAATAATTTACTATAATTGAGTACAGTTAACATGTTTAGTATAATAAGGAGAATTTAGCAACTCCTGTGGCTCACTTTAAAAATCTGAAGTTAGAGCATTACACAAAGCCTGACCTTGACAGGGCTCAGTCATTAGACAGACACACACAAACCTGTGCTTAGCTTGTTGTGTCCAGTCATAGATTCTTTGCCAGCTACCTTTGGGGTTTGAGCAGGGGTGGTAAATGGGAACCGGGAACCCAACTGAGTTTTTTCTCAACATACATTTTTAGAACTATCAGATTCAGAATCATGACTTGTGTTGTAGGCAATTAAGTTTCTTTTCCTTAAATCTTTGGCAAAGATTTAGATATTCAGGAGAATATGGAAAAATTGAGAATATTGCCAAATGAGAGAAGGTAATTTGCTGCTCAGAATCTGAGTTGGAAGGGACCTTTGAGGTCATCCAGCCCAACTACCCTGAAACATAAATCCCCAGTATAAAATCCTGAAGGTGGTTGGTCAACCTAGCCTCCACTTACAGGTCGTGACATATAAGGACGTGAAAGAGAAGCCACCTAACAGGAAATGTTACCTCTTGAGGCAGCCCAATCCATTTTGTAACCGTTTCAATTTTTCACTTGTTCCTCCTCCTAAATCCCAATCTGCTTCTGCTGTGTTCACCCATGGCTCCTGTTCTGCCCTGCAGCGCCATGGAAACAAGGTAATAATGACTTAGATTCGTACCTAGAAAATCCAGGTTCAAATTGTAGCTCTTCTACTTACTACCTTTTCACCTCAGCCCAGTCACTTCCCCTCAGTTTCCTCATCTGTGAAATTTTGGGGCCAGATGGTGTTCCCCCCCCCCATCAGTCCTCTCATGGGCTGTCACTGCAGTTTGAAAGCTCAGGAGAACAAAGGCATTAAATCAACCTCACATACAAGAGAGAGAAGGATTTGAGGCTATAGAAAGAGAGAGGGATAACTCGGAGGAAGGAGGTCATCACTAGGCTCCTTGCTTGGCCCTAGTGAGACTACACCTACAGCATTCTTCGCGGTTCTTCGCGGCACATTTTTTAAAGACATCCCTAAGCTAGAGAACACGCAGACATGGTGAAGGGCTTTGAGTTCATGCTGTAGCAATCAAGCAAGGCTTTATGAAGTGCCTCTTCTGGGCCAGGCTCTGGGTGTACAAAAACACAAGCGAAAGAGTCCTTGTCCTCAAGGAGCTTCATTGAAAGAACAGAGGATGTAGAGCCCAAAGAGAAAGCTTAAACTGACGGCAGAGCTGGGGAGGGGAAGAGAGACAAGACAACTGTCTTGGAATATTTTAAGGGCTATCTTTTGAAAGAGGGATCAGACTTTTTTTTTTTTTTTGCCTCAGAGGGGAGAACTAGGAGCAAAGGGCAGAAGTGCAAATTTAGGCTTGATGTAAGGAAAAACTTCCTAACACAAAGAGTTCCTCAGGTGTTAATTAGACCAGATGGCCACTGAGGAGTCTGAAATTCTGTGAACACATCATCTACATTAAATTTTACCTGCTAAACAAACATGAAAGATGGCATGACTTAGTGCAGTGGTTCTAGGATACCTTTACAATCATAAAAATTATTAAGGACCCCAAAGGACTTTTTGTTTATGTGGGTTAACCCTATCAATAGGTATCATCCTAGAACTCCACTCAATATTTAAAACTAGTTATTAATTTTCAAAAATAATAATAAATCTATTACATGTTTTTATAAATAACATTTTTATGGAAAACTTTTTTAGTGCCATTGTTTTACAATTTTTGTAAATCTCTCTAATATCTGGCTTATAGCATACAGATTCTCATATTCATTAGGGGTGGCCAAATGACTAAGTAGATAGAGTGCTAGGTCTGGAGTCTGTAAGACCTGAGTTCAAATCCAGTTTCACACACTTACTAGATGTATGACCTTGGACACATCATTTAATCTCTGCTTGCCTCAGTTTCCTCAACTGTTAGATGGGGATAATAACAGCACTTATTTTTCATGGGTGTTGTGAGGACCAAATGAAATAATATTTGTAAAGTACTTAGCATAGTACTTGGCACACAGTAGGCATTATATAAATGTTTGCTATTATTACTACTTTTGCAGTAAGTCTCTTGCAATGTATTGTTTTAGTTGAAGGATAGGGAGAAAATCTGACCCAATGCAGATATATAGATGAAAAGAGAAGAATATTTTAATAGGCAAATAATGTCTTAGTATTATTATAAAAATAGTTTTGACCTCAAAGACTCCCTGAAAAGGGTCTTTGAAAAGTACTGGTTTAGTGGATAGAGAGCTATCTGGGGGTCAAAACCTGGATTCAAATTCTGACTCTGATCTGTGGAAACTTTATGACTCTAGGCAAGTAAATTTACATCTCAGTGCCTCTGGTATTAAGACTATATAGACAAATGAGTTGCTGATTTATATCCATTGATTCTCCTAAGCCAGTAGTTCTCTCCTCCAAATAAATCACAGGTCTGCACCTCCCCTCCAAAAATCAAAACACTAAACCAACTACCAATCTCTTACATTTTCTCCACAAAATTATCAAAAATAAAAAAACCCAAAAATTATGTCAGAAATAGCCAATGCTTGTTGTCTTTTAGTATCTGGCTTGCATGGATGCTGTGCTTTATAGGATATGATCAGCAAAAAAAAAAAAACAAAACACAAAAACACCAAACATTTAATAGAAAAAAAGCTGCATTCCTCCTAGTTGCAGACAAGGATGAAAGGGTTAAATTTTTGTGTCTATAAATCAAGAACTTTTTCCTTTTTCCCTCAATAGCATCAACAACTTCCCCCCAGCTAAAAAGCATCCAGTTTTGCTTAATGGAAAAAGGAAAAACAACAACAACAATTAGCCCATAATTAAAGTTTAATGTCTTTACTATCATGACAAATAATTACAAAAAAATTTTAATCCCAACTCTTAAAGTCTATTTTCCTTCTATCTGCAAAATAAGTCATTTCTGTATCTTATCAACTCTTCATTGTAAAAGTAACACAGGTGTTAGAGAACCAAATAATGTTTAGTCATTGAGCATTTTGTAACCTCAAACTGCACCCTTGCTCTTTTGACAGATAAACCACAAATGAGAAGAGTGGTGAAAGGAGTTGTCAATTTCTGCTCCTAGGAGGAAAATCACTGGTTTATCAATCACGATACCTATCAGAGTATTCCAAAGATGCTGCTAAAGTAGCTGTGGACATCTCTCTCCTCCTCAGTCTGATTCCTGATTACTATGGGCTGCATAAAGTCAAAGCAAACTTTCCCTTTTCCAAACACAATCTCAACTGAGAAGAGACAAGAAAATGAGGAGAGATTTCTAACTGAAAAGCCTTTGATGGTTTCTGTCAGAACAGAGGTTGTGCAGGATTCTTCTGCCAGGGTAGTGGTGTTGGAGTACGCCCATCGTCTGTCCCAGGAAATCATGGATGAAGCAGTGAAGCAGTGGGCGGCCAATGACAGCAGGTATGGGGACATCCCATACATTGAGAGTGAGGCAGTGCCCTGAGGCTCCCTGGCTCACTCTAGAATGGATGACTCTGTGAAACTATAGGTTTAAATAGCATACATTGGTGCTAGTCCAAATACAGAAGAAAGCAAAAACTGGTGTGATTAACTACATAGAACTCCAGCTGTATGTAAAATATCTTTTATGTTGGTACCAAAGTTGCTTTGATGGGAGAGGAGGGTATTTTAAAAATGAAACATCTGTTGTGATCAGCACTAGGTCAAGAATGTTTGTTTTCTGCTTTGTTTGCCTTGGATTGTAGTCTGATGTAGCTTAAATGGCCGCATGGGGTCTTGTAGCACTGATGCATTTTATCTGGCTGCTCTCCTACAATCATGAGATGGGCCTGTCACTCCATGCAGCATCGCCAAAGAACAAAAAACATAACTGTTCATGCCCGTTGTTTTTTATGTATGCTTTTAGCTCTACTATCTAATGATGCCTGACTGTTGCACAGGCAAAGATCATCAATATGAAAGGGAAGGTTCCCATAACAACACCACATTTGGGGCTGGTTAGAGCAAGAATGCCTCTTTTCCCACTCATGGGCGGCTTTTGTTTGCTCCAGAAATAGATAGCTAAAGAGAACCTATGTGCTTTTTATCATGAGAAAATAGTGATGCTTGAATTTTTGAAGGATTTCAAACACATTAAAGAAAAGCCCTTAACTTTTCAATGGCAGGGTTAAACTACCATATTCCTTATGATGCATATCCCACACCCCCAGGTCATCAAATCATTTGGACACCCCATGTATAATTCAAATCCTAAAACGGTGGTAAACATCAAATCTTAAGGTGATGGTAAATGCTAAAATCGAATGAGCAGGTGGTTATATCACCCCCAGCTGGGGGGCACCAGTCTTGATGTTGAATTTGCATTGTTTTCAATGTCTGCCAAGGCAGACAGACTTCCTTCATCTTCCCCCTAGAGCCCTGCCTAATTGCTGTTCTAGCGGCTTCTGTTGAGTCTAGAAATCAAGGAAATTCCCAAAAGGATTACGGTTGGCTAGTGTGATAAATGAGATGTTAAGCCTTGAGAGCTTAAATCTTTAAAAACAAACAAACAAAAAAACCCATTAAGCTGTTTCCTCCTCACTACTTGCCTACAAAGCTAGCCTGGATGTTTGCCAGGTGGGTCCAGTAATTTGTTTTAGAGAAGGTATGAGTTTATCTTGTGGGGTGTGTTTGATTATAGCTGTCAGCATAAATGAACATGTTTCTCTACTTAAAAGAGTAGAGTGTGGGGGACTTGGAGACCTAAGTTATAGTATCATTAGCCTAAGCTGATGTGGTATTTTTGGGTTCCTTGCAACTGTTTCCTTCTGTCACTTTCACAGACCTGGCTCTGAAAACTAAAATCCTGATGAGTGAGCACCTTATGGCAAAACCCTCGAAGACTTTTCCAAGGGAGCAGCTACCAAAAACTTAACAAGAAAACTTCAGAATGAATCATTTATTTGTATGGTCATACCCACGGAGTCTAAGCTGGAGCCAACTCCAGTGTTCGGAGTACTAGCTTGTTAGCAAGTTTATTCCCTGTTCGGTTTCATGGGGATAGGGGAGGGAATGGAGGGTCTCTTTAAGCACACGTTTTTCAGGTCATTTGTTTAAAGCATTGTAATAAAAACTGGGTATGAATTCTAGGACTAACCATACAGGAGTAGATAAGGGCCATGCTTTACTGCAATCTAGCACTGAAATGAGCCACCACAGACTTGCTGTTAGTGTTCCCACTGTTTCCATTTCCCTCATCCAAGTCTAAAGAGAAGGAAAGGGAGGATATAGCATATAAATAACAATATATGTATCCTGCATGGCAAAGCAGCCAGAAAAAAAAGAAAAAAGATACCTCCACTCAGTTAAAAAAATATTACTTTCAACACAAGAGAACCCTACCTAGTGTATTTCTTTAAAAATGAGTGCTAAGTCACCTTTATTATTGATATCATCTTGTGCATTAAGTCCAGTTGCATTTTGGACCCGTGATCAATAAAAAGTACACCACCGAGGCCCTTTTTTAAGGAATGTATGATTCTTAACATTCCATTTTCCCTACTGTTATAGCTAAAATCAAGGGAAACGTAGATGATTCCTGTTCATGGAAGGAGCTGAGGTTTGTGGGTCCGATGCTAAATGGAATGTCCCTCAGCTCCAGCTGATAACAATATTTCCAATAATGGTAAATTCCTGGTGAAAAAATGTAGAAAGTTATACATGCTTAAAGTCGGACCAAAGCCTCAGAGTTGCTGCTTTTAATTAGTATGTTATATATATCTGAAATTCAGAACATATTTAGTTTTCATACATCATTTCATTTTCCCACAATGCCCTTGAAAGTTGAAGAATGTCAAGAAATTGATAAAATTTGCTTTCTAGTTCTAGTCTAAGAAATGGGTAAAATATACATATATATATACACATATATATATACACTCATATATGCATGTGTGTATTTATATAGATACATAAAGAGATAGCTATATGAAGACTGTGGCAACCAGACAAAGCTATTTAATGGCCTTTCACACTCATATACACAATATAATCCCTCCCCACAGTATTTATATCCATCTGGACTTTGGGTCCACCTCTGTGATCTCACAGTTTCCAAGACTATTGCATTTATTTCAGTCCCCTGGTTTTGTGGTGGGCAAGTAAAGAAAAAAAAAAAATTAGCAACTGGGATGATAAATGAGCAACAGTTGGCAATGCCTTTCCAAGACAAGAATTATCCAAAAATCCAATCCCTATCCTTAGCCCTGAGCCGTATTGCAGTACAGTGTGAGAGAGCTTCCTCCTAGGTGTTTTTCACAATACAACAGGCATGAACTGACCCAATGGGGCTCTTCACAAGTAACTCCACAGGCCACAGGATTTTAGAGCTCATTCTAGGCCAACCTTCATTTTCACAGATGAAGAAATTAAACCCAGGAAGATGAAGTAATTTGCCTAAGGACACACAGGTATAAAGGAGGAGAGTCAGGATTCAAATCTTCATGTTCTGACTAAATACAGGGCTCTCTGTATTTGACCAGATTGCCTCTCCAATATTATCTACATGTTATATTTCATGGGAGAGGGGTTAGGGAAGCTTCTCTGACAAAGCAGTTTTGAGAAACCTGAGATCCAGAGGAATCTGAGGTGTATAAGGAAGGCTGTATTGTCACTCAGTTATTGTTTATATGCAACACACGTACTGCTGGTCTACCGCTGTTGGCCAGTATGTGTTTGCATGTGTACATACACAATTACCAACAGACAATGCAACCTTATTTATGCACCTCAGATTCCTCTGGTTCTCAAGGCCACTTTTTCATAGAAGCTTCTCGAGGCCACCTCCTATTAAATATAAAATGGATAATATGGCTGAGTTATAAGATGGACCAATCATCTCTGCAGCAGACTTGTCCTTTTACTCTATTTGGTTTCTTTCATACATTCATACTGGTCTGCTGTCCTTCATTGGTTCTCCCAGGCAATATGGTGGGGGCAACATTGAATCTGGGGCCCGAGGACCCATATGTCAATCCTGGCTCATTACCCAAGTGACCTCAGGCAAGTCTCTTCACCTCTCTAGGCCTTGGTTCCCTCATCTGTGAAGCAAACACCTTAGCCTAGATGATCTTTTCAAAGGCTCCTTCCAACTCTAGACCCCATGAGGTCAGTCAGAGACATGATAGCAGACCAACAGCAACCCATCCTAGAAGTCGGGCTCATATGTCCTTGGAGAAGGAAACAGACATACAGGAGGAGGCATGTGAGTTACTGACTGCTTCGAAGGAAGAGACAATTCGGGCTTGGGCATTGATATGTTACAAGGAAAACGGTGATGAAACTAGAAGGGGATGGGTGGGAAGGGGTGCAGATGCTGCAGTCTGGCTGAAGATGAGGCAGTTTTCTATGCTGTCAGTGAAGGCAGTAAGTTTAGGGCACAGAATAGCATTTCTTTTCTTCCATCTCCCAAGCCTGTGTCACTTATAATATAAATCTTCTATTTCATGAAACTTGGGTTTGGAATGAACCCATTCACTCAGAAAAATCCAGGCATGGCAGTGTATGTCAAGGGAAGGCAGAGGCATATCAAGTTGATAAAAACAACTTAAATGACAGTCCTGGGAACAGCACAGTGCCCAAAGAAATATGGTAATTCCTCACTTATCCAACCCACCATGTGTCTACATATTCAATATGCTCATTTTCCCACCTTTCCTATCACTTACCTAAGATCTCAAGGTCCTCAATTCTCAACTGCCTTAGCATCTCTTTACAAACTGCCCCTGGTTCATTAGCACTAAAAGCACAATTTTGGAGGGGAGGAAAAGTGAAAGGGAGGCTATGATATCTCCCCCAAAAGAACGCTGTAAGGATAGTTAGTCATAAAAGGCATTACTGTTATTTTTAAGTAGCATGAAGAATAAATGAAGTAGCATGATCCTCCTATCACATGACACTAACATTTTACTGGAATTGGATTTGAGACAATGAAATGTTACTATATATATTTTTTGTTTTTAGAAACTAGACATGCCAGGGACACTTTATAAATGAGATCTGCTATCCAAAAAAATCGGTTCCCACATAATTCTCTTTTCTCTCATAATTAAATAGAAGCAATACCATTTGTCCTAGGCTGTAGTTGTGTGCCTGAGTAGGAACTGTGTTTACTCACAAGCACTGGCTGCTTTTTACCTTGTAAAACTCTTGTTTCGTTGGCAAGCTCCTTTGCTTCCCCATTACTGAAGCATACATATGATAAGTATATTTTTACAAGTATTTTTGTGAAAATTTTCTTTGAAACTGTACAATAAAATTCAGTTGCCATTAACTAGTTGCAAACTTTTATTCAATTAAAATAAATAATCAACCTAGTTGTGTGCTTGGCATTTGTCTTTAACCTAAAAGGACTTCACATTTCTTTCAGGAATGCAAAAATGACCCCATGTCCCCCCTCCCCTACAAAAAAAGTATAAATCGGTTTAACTTCTGAAAATAATTTCTAAGATCATCTGAAGGACCACTGTAAGAACTTCTAAGTAAAAATTTAAATATGTACCAATAATATTTGAGCCTGTTTTCCACATCACTGCTATGAATCCTTTGGAGGAAAAATGCTGTGAACTATTAGCTAAAATGAAAGGAACTGGAATAGATGACCCCTACATGCCCTTCCTGTTCCGTCATTCTCTGAGTCTCAGCCCTGACGCTTTCTAAAAATATGAAACTTATTATAAGGGGGAATAGTATACTTGTTGACAAAATGAATGAAGAAAAATAGCTAACATTTATACAGCCCCTTTATCACACACACACACACACGTGTGTGTGTGTGTGTGTATGATGTGTGTGTGCATGTACATATATATATTCACAAATATCTCATTTGATCCTAACAACAACATTGGGAGGTAGGTGCTGTCATGATTTCCACTTTACAGATGAGGAAACTGAGGCAAGAAAAGGCTAAGTGACTTGCCCACGGTCAGAGAGCTGGGAAGTGTCTGGGCCTGGATTTTAACTCAAGTCTTTCTGACTCCAGGCCCAGCGCTCTATCCACCGTGCTCCCTAGTAGAATGGACCTCTGATCATAAAGCTGCAGTACTCTGACTCAAGCCTCTCCAGTCTGGCAGTGGAACGTACCATTCATTCTTTTCCATCCTTTCTCACCTTCCAAAATGGCTTTTATGACTTTAGTTGCTCTTCTGTCAACCCCAGTCATGCAAAGGCCTATCTTGAACAAAAGCTCTCTTGTTTTCATCTGACTTCATCTTCTGGATTTGATCCTTCTATAGGGACCAGGCTGTGTGTGACATCAGCCCCTGTTCCTGGGAACTCCACCAGAGTCAGCCTTGATGTCAAACTGTGAACAACCAAGAGGGGCTGGGTCTCAAAGCCAGGTCAGAGTCCCCCAGCCTCAGACCCTGAGATCGGAAGAAATAGCTTGCCACAGTATTCCCGCTGTCGGCAGCTGCTTTTGTATTGCGGCCCCAGTTCTGGATTAAAAGGACTACTAGTCGCTAGTTTCAGGGGACTAGGTTGGGGGAAGAAACAAAGTTATCTCGACTACTGTACTTTCCTCTTCTGTTTGGCTAACCGAAGTGAAGCCACCCCTTAGAGTATGACCTCGAGGGCAAAGGCTTTCTCTTTCAGGTTGGAGCCAAGCTCAGGCATTTTTCTGGGTCACTGATTGGATATGAAATCCGTCCTAAGAACCTGTTACTGGCTGTCGCCCTGAAATGCACCACACTTCTGAATGCTGTTCTTTTTAAAAAATAAGTGGCTAAGAAAAAAAAAATCAAAAGCCAATGCGTGATAAATGAGAAAGATTTTTCAAACATTTCATCCCACCTGAAAGGCTTAGCTTTCTAAAAAAAATAGGTAAATAGAATCACTATAGGTGGATAATACTCCATCACATTTACTTAAATTAAAGAGAGAAGCAGGAGTGATGTGATGAGAGGACAGAATAAAGGAAATTCCAAAAATGTAACTTCAAGTGCAAAGGGAGAGTTGATAGGTACAATGATTTTTAACATAATTTCAAATACTTCATAAGCCTACAAATTAACAGCCAATCACACAATCTGGGAAAAGAGCCAGTAATAAAAATCAATGGTCTCAAATGTCATATACAAATTCAGAAGGTACAAGTAAAGAACAAGGCAAGTTATTTGATTTCAATAAGTGTCACTAAGGTTTGGTAAGATACAGCCTGCGACTGGAATGTGATGCTGAAAGGGCATACCTTATTTGGAAGGAAAAATGTAGTAAAAAAAAATGTTGAACAGAATAGCATTATACATTTAAAAGATTTGCCCACATGAGGAAATCAAAGAACCAGAGAGGCAATCTGGGAGCATTTGAATGAATGAATGAATTGAATGAATATCAATATTATTACATCAATTACATCATGTAATTTTATCACGATGTAATATTATTACATCAATATTATTACATCACTATCAAATAATGTTATCATCAGATATCAAATATCAAATAATATTATCAGACTAGAGCCCTCTTGGACAGAAAGAGGAAATAGATGAGGAGTTGGGAAAACATCACAATCATAGAGACATGATGTAGAAATAATAAACGTAGGATTGGTGATTTTGTCATCGTGACAGAATCCAATATCCAAATACCAATGTGCAAATCACCTTTGTCTTAGTGGTTAAATTCTAGGGAGTTGCCAGTGGTACACAATGGTTAAGTGATTTGCCCAAGATCACATATTTACTGTCACAAGTGGGATTTGACTTTAGGTTTTCCTGACTTTATTCCCAGGACTGTATCCCCTATAGCATACTGCAGTTGAGGCTGGGTTAACTTAAGACTGTCATGAATCTTGTCAGGACGGCTGCATGATTTTCTCCACTGTTCAGCAGCACATGTAAGAGCAAAAGCAGCAGATGATGAGAATGATCTAAGGCTGAAGCTCAGGCACAAGCAGCAATACAGTAAGAGAGCAAAGGACTCAGGGACAGTATAGAGTTGAACTGATTCACTAAGGAGTGAAGATAGAAAAAGAAGGAGATGGTGGCTTATGCAGGGGGGATGGCCTGGGAGAGAACTGAGGGATGGAGGGACTGGAAGAGCAGGGTGTGGTGATAGAAGGCAGAGGGAAGAGACAGAATGACTACACATGGTGAGAAGGGAATTTCAGAATTGATGGCATGATCAAAGGTATGACCATCTTTGTTTGTGGCTAAGGTGAGGTGGAGGGGTAAGTCATGGGAAATGAGTAAGCTGATGAACTGGGGTTGAGGGTGTTTGAGGGAGTATCAATGTGTATGTTGAAGTCCTCTAGTACGACAGCACGAGTTGGGGAGGAGAGAAAGAGTGTGAACCAGGAACTGAATTCATTGAGAAAGGAAGGGGGAGTGTCCTGGATATCTGTAGTTGTGGATCACAAAAACTTCAAAGGAGGAAAGGTTACCAAATGATAATGGTAGGGAAGGAACCTGGAAGGAGCAATGGAAAGTAAAGAGTATTCCACTTTCCTCACCTCAACCAGTGTCTAAAGGGAAAAGAGTGAAAATGTAGGTACCTGCTGGAAAACGTTGGCCAGGGAGGCCAAGTCCTCAGGAGAGAGCCACAAAATGGGAGGCAGTGAGAAAGGAAAAGATTGAAGATGAAAGATAGTTTGTTGCCTAGGGAGCAGGCATTCCAGAGGACACAGTGAAAGGGACTTTAGAGGGGGGAGGAGGACAGGAATGAGTGGAGCAGTGGAGGATGTATGCGGAATGAGGTTTGGGTGATGACCTATGGAGTTTCAGAATCACAGAGATGGGGAGGGTATGGCCAGGGGGAGAAATTTGTTAATCACTAAGTGAAAATTTTATAGAGATTTTCAAAGCCAACTGTATTATGATCTCTGGGATGAGTCCTTTCGGAGTCTTGGTCAGTTCAGGCAAAGGAGTGAGAACTTGAAACAGAAAGAATGGTAATACTCTCCTTCCCCCAAAGCAAGAGACCAAGGTGGAGATTTGATGAAATGGCACTCTCTCCTTTCGTCTGAAATGGCAGGAGACTGGTATGATGGAATTGCACTTCTCTTCCCCACAGAGGCTGGAGATCAGGCAGGAGATTCATGGGGTGTGATGGTAATATGCCCTCCTTTCCCACCTCCCACTCTCACCTGAGGATGGAAACCAGGCAGGAGACTCCTGGAGATCAGGCAGAAGATGCATAGGGCCTGAGGGTGATGTGCCTTCTTCTCTTCCTTACAGTGGCTGGAGGTCAGGCAGGTGATGCACTGGGCACATTGGTAATGAGCCCTCCTCCCATTTTCATTGGAGGGTGGTAACCAAGCAGGAGATTCATGGAGATCTGTCTGAATACATCATACATACATACATACATACATACATACATGCATGCATGCATGCATTCACATACACACACATATAAAAAGCAGAGGTAGTAACAAGGGGAACATCTTTCTGAATCTGATTCTCACAAGCAGAGGAGCTGGTTGTTGGGGTGGAAATGATAGGCACGTTGGGGAAAAGTGACTACTTCATTTTAGCATTTGTAATAGAGAAGAAGAAAGCCACCATAGTCTAATATGAATCCTAGATTTGGGGCCAAAGCACATTTCAAAGGGTTTAAAGAAAGGACAGAATTCCATGGCCTAAGAGGGAAATCAGCTGAGGAGAAATCAATTGTCAAGAAAGAAATTCTTGGCACAAAGAGAAAAAATTTAAATCAGGAGAAAAACCATATTTTAGGGAGCTCACTGATAAAATAGAGAATGTCTAAAGGAGGGCAATCAGGCCAGCAAAGGGCCTTGAGATCTCACCAAATGAAGACTGACTAAACAAAACAGGGCTGTTTCATATAGATAATTAGGGGGAATGTGATAATTTTCTTTGAAAGTAAAAAGAGCCACTCTTCAGGAAATGGATTAAACTGCTTGTGTTTAACTCCAAAGGGCAAAACAGAAAGCAATGAGATGGGGAGAAGCTGCGGAAAAGGAGACTTGGTGAAATACTTCCTAAATCAGAGCTACACAAAAGAATGAGATACCTTGAGAAATATCAGAATCACTGATGTAGAGTGTGAAGGGCCTCAAAGGTCATCTGGTTCAATCTCCTCATTTTGCTGAAGAAACTGAGACCCAGAGAGGTGAGGTCACTTGCCCAACGTCACATAGCTAACGAGAAGAACTTAGGCTTAAATCCCAACTCTCTACATCTCCATATACGCTTTCTTTCTCTCAAGGGGCACAACTGAAAAAGAATCCTCTCTCTGGATTTGACTAGATGGCCTGTGAGGACCCTTCCTACTCCAATTTAGTGATTCTGTGAAAGGAAAATCACAACTGAGATCCTTTAAAATAAGTGTAACTCGACAA